ACATCACATGGCAATGAATGGAAATAGGTCCACCATTGACCGGATGACAAATGGCTGGATATTCTTTGTTAGCATGTTTGGTTGCATGGCTTGCACTGGAATACTATGATACGATTATTCTCTGTTGAAACCTACAGAAGTGATGAAATACAGAGGTGAAAAGCACAGGTCCAATGTATACACTTTTAAGCTGTAGGAGCTTGCTTGTATAAAGACAAATTTATATCAGCTCTCAAACCGGTATCTCACTTTTCTCCTCCATCACCAACATCTTAATTTGAAAGCTTTAGATCCAAGCGCTTTAATATGTCTTCTGAACTGTGTTGGAGAAATCTGGCCAGCTATGGAAATATCAACTGTTCACACAGAAAATTTCACATTCCCATTTTTCATTGTCCCTTTTTATATCTATGGTCAGGCCGGACTGTGCTTCATTACGCATTTAAACAGAACATCCTTTTACATTTCGCAACAGTTTTGCGAGCTGCTTTGCGGCTCTCTGGCAGCTGATGATTCTTTCTACGCTGCGATGTTCTAACTGCGCGTCAACTTGCCACATGTGCTTCTGTATCCAAGATTACGCCTTATGATGCAAGCTATCACTTAATGTTTGTATATATCCCAATGAGCAGTATTTTCTGAGTCCGTCAGAAAATGCAACATCCAGTAATAGAAATAGGTGCTTAATGGAATCGCTGGTTTTTACCTAGATTTGAACCCCGATTTTGCTTGTATCACCGTGATACTAGCCCGGCATAGAACTTTTCCTGGTTCCAAATTTCAGAACGGAATTCTATCTCAGGCTACCATATTGACCCTCAATAACTACGTAAACTAGTACGTGTAGCCGTGAGCTAAGCCTCCGATTGAGTAACCCTTGTTTTTTTGTGTTTTTTGTGATGTTTTTGCGCGCGACGAGACTGCAATGTTTATCTTGCACACACAACGATGTTTTTACCTAGCTAGTGAGGTGTGAAAATGACCTAGAAGTCAATGCGTTTTAAGAACGATAAAAGCTGTTTCGACCCAATAAAGGAGAAGCTGTGTCCAAGCGCATCGCTAATCGTCAGGAACGAAGTCTGCGGTCCAAAGTGGCGTCGACGTTTCTCGACTAGGCGCGAACACGATACAATTTCATGGCGGACGGTGAAGGCCAGACCCCAACGAAGTAAGTCGGTAATCAATTCGCTCCACGGCGTACTTTTCCTGCTAGCCCATGAGGTTCGCGTATTAAAGGCCTGTTCTTCACAGAGGTGTGAATCGAATCCTATCTGGCCAATTTTGACGAACCTGGCACCAAACGAAAGACTGTTTAACTGTCTTGAGCCGGCCCATTAACAATTTTTGTCTAGAAAAAACAAATTCCCACGGCGTGCCGGGTCAAAATTTTCGGGCACGGTACGCCGTGAATTTTCCGACTTTCACGACAAGTCTAGTGGTCTCAGTAGCTCAATCGGTAACGTGCTAGATTAATGCTTGCAAGATTGTGGGGTCGAAGCCAGGGCATTTCAGGATTATTCCACATATTTCGTATAGAATATACTAAATTGTTTACCTTCAACCAACACATGCTGTATGTAGTGTACAGTATCTTATGCAGTGTACGGTATCTTGAGAGCTTCTTTCAAAATGTCTGAGCACAACATTCATTTAAATTTCAAATACCTTTACTACTACAGCACCTGCACCACGCTACCTTCAGTTACCAGCCGCCAATAATTTAGTATAAACTAGAAATCTACCCTACGCTGCAAATCTAGTGTATTTCTAGTTTCATGCTGTTATTTTTCCACTGGATTCCGTTCTACCCGGTGTCTATTGCCCTGGGTGAAAACGGCACCACATCGATGACAGGGGGACTGCCTGCCCCACACAGCAGATAACCGCGGGTGGCATACTTGCCCCCGATACGCAGCCTGCGAAAAGCTACTTCTCGCGCGCAAACTATCAGAGCAAAATGACCCCAAGCCCAGCTGGGTTGTTATCACTCTGCGGTTCTTGCCGTCTGTCTGATCCCAGCAAATGCTGCAAAATGCTTTCGATGGAAGTCGTGACTGTCGAGTAAAAGTCTTCGACAGGGATCAACAAGGACCGGAAACATGATGTCACTGCTGCTAACTTAGAAGCAGCGCCAGTGAACTCGTTCCCCACGGCTCCGATGTGACTTGGGATCCAGCACCAGGTAACTCTTTCCAGCCAGATCCAGCTGTGTCAGACGTGATGACATGTCCTGTATAAGAGGAAATGATGAATAAAAAGATGATACTGTAGTGGTGCAACAAGGAATGATCCATGTAGATAACATCTTGACCTGAAATGGCTGCCCAGTTTTTGCATGATAAAATAGGCAATGCACCACACTACCATGATAAATCGAAACAAAACCTCACATGCACCAAGCCATAAAACAAACTTATTGCTGCCATTCGTTGACGACGATCTAAATAAAAGAGTAACCTCAAAATACGTTTATTGGGCCTCTTCGTTCAAGTGGCGTGGGAAAGTGAACGAACGCTGAAAGGTCAGCTTGGCCGGTCTGCTCTTGGCCGTGCCTCATGCCCCGTGAATAGCCGCACTGTCGCGCCTGCCAGGCGGTTGTGGTGGGCAGAATTGCAACACTCAACGCCATATACCAGATAGCTTGGTATTGTGTAACCCAGGTAAAAATCCTCCCACATTGGTGAGAACACGCATCATGTACGAATGAGATGCAATAACAGTGTCCTAGAATTGCCGACTTTGGGTGTTAAACACCACCCTATGGGGAGGAATTTTTCACTCCTTTTCCCCATATTTCATTTGAAGCTCTCACTCCTGTCTAAAATTGTCTAATCGCACATGCCAAACCCATATTTTCCTTTACCTTCCCCCAAGTGCAGCATCAAATTATTGAGGTTACTGAATTTTTATGCTCATTACACTGTCATGAAGTTGCTATGCTTTAATGTATGCTGTTTCACTTGAATGGCCTAATATGTTAAAAACAAAACTGTTTTGCCAGGCTTATGATATTAAGTTCATGCCAACTTGAAATAGATGTCTTTGTTTCTGAAGCATCAGCCACTAGCTCATAAGCTCCATGTTTTGTAAATTTAATTTTTCACTCCCGAACGGTCTTTTTGCGATGAAATTTTTCACTTGATGTGGAAAAATATCTTCTAAGCCCCATTTATTACCGTCTAGCTCATGCATGGGGCCTCCTTTGTGTAAATGCTGTTAGTCTGCAGGTAGCTACAATGCCTTTAGTTTTGGAAAAGAGGCTTCCCAAAAAATCTGAGATGGCAAAACACGCTTTTGTTACCTCTACCATCTACCCCTCCCCCCCCCCCATCCTCCTACCTTGCCCTGCCACCCCTAGTTATCCGTTTGCCTGGGCACGGAACGTATTCGATTTATATTTTGTCACCTCTAGCCCCGAACGCCAGGTGAGGTTCGCTTTTCTTGGGGTTTCGACACACCTCTCTTGACTTGCTGTAACACGACCAACTTTATGGGCCATAAGGTTGTCAACTTTCCACGTGCTAGGGTGGGGCGGGAGCGGAGCTACAGTTTTCGAGAAAAAAAAAACAGACGGACAGGCATAAGGTGGATAAAAGCGGAAGTAGGCAGTCTCCGCCAAATACACTTCAGTGAAAACTACGGGAAGATTAAGGATGGACTGGGAAAACAGAGTGACGATCATAATATCATCCGCAACGGAGCTTGCAGCTTGACGTTGCTGGTCATGGCCTCATATTCTGAGTGATTATATCTGCCCAAACAGCCTGGGATGTGGTTTATCTCTTATATTCTTGTAGATTTCCCCCTAGACGCTTTTAAGCCTTTCAAAATGTGTCTTATGCCACGAACATCCTGCGGCCTATTGCTGAACTTATAGCTATTAACTTTCAGTCATTCAGCAACTTTCGTTACCGTTTGGCTGCAATGCATTTATTTATAGATCCATGAAAACATAAAGTCTATCTATCTAATGAAAATGTAGAGTCTATTCTGTATGCATCGAAATGCATTTCGCTTGTGCTGCGCCTGTTCTGCCATTTTTGGTCGATTGCTGTCTTAACACGCGCCCGGGTGGCCGGCTGAATACCCTTTCTCTCGGGTGGGGTATCAATTGACCAACTGAGATCTGGGGAACTAAGAGAGCTAGAGACACCAAATTCACAAAGTGTGTTGATCTGTACGTGAACTCACTTAGGTGAAAGGTTAAAGTTTCTCAGTCATGACCTCGAAATCAAATGAGGTCAAGTAAGTTTAAATTTCAGGTTGGTCTCCAAAAGGCCCCTGGAACCGAGATAGCTGCTCTAGGCAATAGGGCACATGCTCATCTAAGATCAGTGACCTCGTTTGATCTTTTGAATGTCATGGTGACTAAAATCATACAAGACTGCTTTGAGTTTTGCGTTTGGATGAGCGACATAGATTGCGCTAGGCAGTATGTTCCTAAAAACAAAATGTCGATCTGTGTCATTCTAGGTCAGTGACCTATTCTGACCTTTAAGAAGCCTATGAAAGGTACATAATGCGGTTCCTGTTATCAATAAATTTAAAACGAGCACCAGAAACTACCCCATGCAGCAAGCCCCAGAGTAATGAGGCAGGTTGATTTTGACCTTGTTCTGACCTTCATACATGACCTCAGGTCAATCCAATTTGTTTATTCAATTGTTGTATGGCCTAAGAAGGTATCTTAGAGATGTATGGCCTCGTCTAACACTCCGTTGTTGGATCAGATCGCACGAGTACCTAGAAGTTGCCTTCGCTGAAACCATGGCCTGACTTTGACCTGCCATAGGTCAGCGACCTTACAAGATACATCTACATTTTTTATGCCAGACGATCCGCTATTTAATTGTCTACAGCTAAGCAAGCCGCGCCGTTCGGAAACCATTCCGGAAAAACCTTTGAGAAGTGGTCAATTTGACCCCCATCCGAGCGCGTGTTAAAGAACAAGACTTCACTGTGTTAGTATCCAGTTTATGACAAACGGCCTTCGAGGCAATTTGTGTATTGCGCCCCGACTTGGAGCACATGAACTACCGAGCAATCCAGCTATATACACAACATAAAGCTCATCATCGACTCGCTCAACAACGCACTGTCGGAAAACAATCAGAAAGCTGCATATGCTACAACAGCTAAATGCCCGTTCGTGAGAAAAAATGTGACAAAATTGACGATGCTCATTGAAAACATCACGCAATTAACGGCCCAAGTATGTCGCTGAAGCCGTGCATGTCATATAAACGTACAGCCCAGAAACAGCCTGCGAGATGAACCAATGCCTGCCGAACGCGTCACTTGAAATGCAGTACACACATTCCATGTAAAACAGATGCTTTGCGCACAACCCATATCTGGTGCCAGGCGAAATCATAACCACAGTGCGTTGCTTTCTTTCACTCAGGATTCTGTTTGAATAACACATTGCCAAGTTGGACTAGTAAACAAATGCTGGGGGTCACCGCTGACACAACTGGTGTGTGAGGACAGACTCAACCTCAACAACCACACGGACATACCCGCCTCATCGGATTATATATAGCAAGGTGAAAACGAACTCGCACATTGTCGCACGAAGCATGTACACACATAAGCATCCACCAGATAGTAGCACGCATACAAGTAGTGTCATATTCACTAAGGCCTGAAAAACCAGCTCGTCTTGTGAAGCGTGTATTAGTACGCTCTCGGTGGCCTAACATGACGTCATCACACGGCGCGAAGCTTCATACTTGAGGCTTCTCCAGCTTGTCGCCGGCCACGCCACTCAAACTGACCGTGTCCAATTCAGATGTGTTGTACAAGATCCTGCCAACAACGAAGGAAGCTGACCGTCCCACTCTTCACCCTGACATCACGCGCACACAGAGCTTCAACGCTACAGAACGCCAAGCACGCTTTTAGTAGTGAATGATTATTTGCTTTAAAAAAGTTGGCTACAGCTTCTGCCAGCTTGCGATAATTTGTTTTTATTTTTGTGATTACCCACGGGAATTTGCGTAATTGTTGTTCGCATTCATTCATTTTTCCTCTCACAAAAAAACTTCTGTAGACCTTGCAACTGCCAAGTTTTGGGATTGACATTGACTCGGTGCCAAGCGACTACGCCGGCAGAGATGCTTTCATTGTGGCTGAATGCAAATGCAGTGTTACGACCAAACACTAAGACCAAATTGGCAATATTTTAACTTTTATTCATTGATTGTAGTTGAAATCCTTTTTGGGGCGACATCGCTTCGCTTGTTTTAAAAAAAAATAGGATCAGAAGGCACTTTTGGCAGGCCCAATGCCTATAAAAGCTCCCCGAAACACCAATATGGTGAGGTGATGATCGTACAGATAATACCAAGGATATATAGGGTATATATCCTTTGATGCAAAATGTATTTGATGCAAAATTGTGAGCCCCATAATGAACTAACCGACGAGGATCACACCTGAACGTTCTTTGCACATATTCTAATGGCATGGCAAGAGGGAGTATAGAGTAACGAGTGGTAGTAGAATGGGAAAGAGCACTAAATATTTTGCGAAACTGATTAACTTGTGGAGTTAGGACTTATCTGTGAATCGGTGCTGGATTGGGCAAGTTCAGAAGTATGAGGATTCCGCTTGGATTGGATTAACTGACTGGCCATTGCAATCTGACTAGGACTGATGTCAAAGTCCAAGAGTCTGTGGCGCATTTTAGAAGCCGTTAATGTGTCCACTATGCCATGTTTGGTGCTCGTGAAATTATACTGAAACGCCATAGACCGCCAAACGGTCATTATTATGACCGTAGATGTCGGCACGCCCCGAAACCTCAATCATCAGATTCATAGTTATTGTGTGTGAAAATGTGCGTCCTGCGAGGGATCGGACCTGATACCAGATGAAGTACGATCACCAAACAAATAGCATGTATTTAGTACCATGCAAGTGATCAAGGGCATATTTAGGTATTGGATACCGGGGCAAGTGGCGCTATGGCGTCGCCGAGGCAATATGAACGTGAATAAGAGTATATGCGTTAAAGTCAAGCACAAATAATTAGACTGACGATGACGCAAACATACCATGTTGATAAACACCGTGCAAGTAAATGCATACGCGCACAGTGTACCAAAATTTGGGTTCCGGTGCAAAATTGTGAACTGTGCCTACATTTCGAAATCCTGTTTGCGTCCCTCCAAAAACTACATGCATACAAGTCGTGCACGTGTGTACAAACGCCACATGCATGTACATACATGTCAGTACATTGCACACATATGAGTACCATGCAAAGCACGTGCAACTTCAGTTCAATATTTGTTAGCAGCCATTCTGACACTATCATGCTCCCTTGTCTATATTTGCACATCATCTACTACACTAAGCCTTGATAGATGCTCCTCTCTCTATGTTACATACAAAAGGCTTACTAAAAGACCTTAGTCCGTTGTGGCTAACCTTCTGCATTACGTTGTGGCTAACTTAGCCCTAACGCCACATTTTCACCAGTGTTGGTAACCAGGCCAAACATTAGTGCCACCCCCATCACCAAACAGGTCGCACGCGCAAGTGGGTATATGGGCGTGTGTATGAATCTATGAATATGCGGTACCGGTGTTATAGACGTGTGGGATATGGGTAGTAATGCATGGTGTAACAGCTATTATGGGAACCCATCGTCAAAAGGTGCATGTTTCAAGGGAAGCATTGATTTCAATCAATTCAGTGAAGAGCATCGCACTGCTTCAGTTTGGATGAAACTGCATTAAGAGTGACGTGTCCTTTGGAGGTGCAACAGCGGAATTCTGTATCTGATTGGAACCTTAGCGTCCATTGTTTGTCCCCTTCCCCACACCTGCTTCCCGTATGTGACATCAAAATCACAAAGTTTTTTTTTTGTCCGCCCCAATAACGTTCATGGAGGTCATCTCCGTTGCAGGCGTACAGACACCTGCCTGGCGCGAACGCAGGCTCAGACTCTTACACCGTGTCTATCTAAGCCTTGCCCTGGCTGCGGACTTGGGTGGACTAACCCAGGTGACCTGCACGCATCTGCCACCTTCGCTATCCCACCCGCAATCTGTGAGTCCGCCAGTGGCGTGGTCATGCTGCAGAGCACGTTGGCGCCGTCACCGGTCATGCCGTTAGTGGGTTAGTGCGTACCGACTGTGGTTACCAGCTGAGCTGGCCGGCGGCATGGTGACCAGCGGCAGCACCGAGCCGCCGCTGCTGGCGGACACCGCGAACTCGCTCGGGTAGTGCTGGCTGTAGAACTCGTTGGACGTGTACGTGCTTGACAGCTGCGATACCGGCATCATGCTGGAGCGAGCTGCGTCGACACGGGAAGGCAAGGTCTGAGCTCGGTTCATGGATGGCCATCAGCGCTATCAGCAGCAGCAGCATATGACGATGCCGCTGACCTGATTTAAGGAAAACGTACAACAGAGCACCGGATATATTAGGGAACACAATATGAAGCGTTTAAGCATTGCCCTTGCCTGTGATGGCAACCGCAGCGTAGACCCACCGCATTACAGTCACCTTAGGAGGCACGTCGTATGCATCGTATTACAAGGTTGACCATGCAATCCTTCCTAGCTTTGCAAAGTTTGGCGCTCCTACCCTACATCGCTCGCATGTTATTCCTGGAAGGCCGTAGGGGAGGATCAAATTCACCTTCCCCACACCTGGAAGCGTTTTAAATTCATAAATCACCAATATGGCAGATGCGAAACAGCCCGTAGTCGTGAAAGTTTATCTTTCGGGTTCAGAACACCTGTAACGCATCATACCTTGCGATTTAAGCAAGCCTTTTTCCGGATTCATGTTCTTCGGCTTGCGTTTTCTGGTTTGAATGCCGTCTTTTCTCATGGTCATTGGCCGGTTAACCTGAAAAATATCACATCGAGCCGATTACATAATGCTTCCAATCGCGTCGAAGAACATAGCAAACAGCACCGAGTCCACGCGGGAAATGGCCACGTCATTGGAGCAGCAGCGTACATGCGGTGTACGTATGATGCAAGAAGCCACAGATACCGTGACGTGTTGCGTGGCATTCTCGGCAGCGCCAGATGTGCCGACCGTATGACATGTCACAGCTGTTCGCTTGGGTAAAAAGACAAACAGATGACTGCCTGCAACGTCTTACAGTTTGCCACCAGCGTGAGTACATGTCGATCTATTACCCCGCTATACGCGTAGTGCAATGATAAAAACCCGACCAATAACCTCTCTCATACAAAATTGTTACAAACCGTTTGTATTTTGTGATCTGTAATTTAGACTACAAAGTGCAAATTACAGCTGTTTCATAAAACCAGCACGCGTCGCACAATTGAAGTTATAAAACTCGACGTCGTGTGTAATTTGTCGGCGCCAATCACCAGCGTTGCCAAGGACGTATAGAAGGTACGGCCGACCGGCTTTTTAGTACCCCATACGCCCAAGGGTAACGTGACGTCACTGGAGTCTTGACACAGCGAGAGCTGCGCGCAGCCCTGCACGATGCATATTACGATCTGGATATTCGCGCTTCCGTCAGTCGCAGCAGAATTGCATGCCAAATTTGCTGGCTACTCTTTGTTCCTTCCGTCCCTAAAAATACGTTACGTTATCAAACTATTAGTTCGGTATAAATTCGGTAAACCTAACCTGAATTACATCGCCCATACTGAGCGGGACGTTCGTGTCAATGCATGCAGTCAGGCTCACACAGCTGGGCCCACTGTTCTCGATGTCCCCGTTTCTTCCGGCACCGGTTTTTGTGTCGCCCATGTACACATACCCAGGGTCACAACCAGAATCTTGGTGGAGCAGAAGTGACACAAGGATTTATGAAAAACCCCAGGTGAAAGTCCCGAAGTTTTCAGCGGGCTCCAACGTTTCCTTTCCTTTCTTTTCTTTTTTTTATCCAGTAATTCCGATGGACGTGTTCATGAAGAAGTCATCGAATGGACACTAACACCACACACTTGTTTCGTTCAGGAGGCGCCGTCAGTGAAACACTGGGGCGCAACAGAATGTTTGTGGTGCGACATTCTGGTGACACGGGCTCTCTGGGCAAAACGTAGCAAGGTCGCTTGTGGGTTATTGGGCCCACTGTCCAACACATTACCATTCCTTTGTCTCAATCAATGCGGGCCCTTTAATTGCCCTATTCCCTTTCTCCCTTTATTGTCGGGGCCCCGAACAATGCCAGAGGCCCGCTGACATTTCAGGTCCCGTCATTGACTCGGATTCCCTTGCTGACGCAGGATCCCTTGTCAGGCACTGCGGCCCCATGATAACACACGGTGACTCTTTTTCATCTGTGCTTAGCCAGCCTTCGCGTGCACTTGCCATTAGTTCGTATCAACAGCAGGGGCACAACCAAATTGTCTTGAGAGGGTGGGGGCAGACCTCGGCGAGAACGTATTACGCAATTGTTAATTTTTTTAAGAGCGCTATAGTAACAATAAAGATCTGTTGGCCGAATAGGGCGCCCCTTGACTGTGCTCCCGCCTAATAATCAAACAGCAACGACAGCAGGGTTTGAAGACCACGACGTTGTAGGAATGCACTAGTTTGTTCCCTTTGTGAAGGCCCTTGTGGGACACCCGTCCACCATAATTATTTGCCCCCGGCTCACAAGTCCTCTAACCCCAATGCTACAAAACCATAGCAAAATATAAAAATCACAGGGACCTTCTTCAGACGTTACCTGCGGTTGATGACCGTGCTACTAAAATAAAGGACTATTCCGTGCCACCAACTTGAAAAAACTACCGTACATCGAAATAAAGTGGCCTAAGAGCAGGTCAGAAACGTATTTAGAGCGAGGTTAGGTTCACAGGTCCTCACAAGGGCGTAATGTCGCTGAATAATTTGTTTGGGGGAGGGGGACGGAAATGGCTCTCCCTACCACAAAAGATGCATTTCACCTGGGTCCCGGGCTTATCCCCATTTAGAAAAGCTGACACCCCTGCTTGCAGGATAACAGAAACACTAACCGAACCAGTACGACTCTGCTTGATGCTTTTAATCAAAGTTTGAATGGCTATTAATTGCCTTGCCTCCAATAGCTTTGAGTCCTGCATCTACCCTACGTTTCCGCTACGCCCCAGCGATAGAGCCAGCAGCGGCGGGGCACACATCAGGGCACCAGTGACGTCTTTACCCTGTGCTGAGTCGCACAGGACTCCACCAATAGGAAATCCAATGATGCCCCTCCCCTCCGGTGTTTCACCCGCCAGCTGACATCGCCAATATCCGACGAGCGCAGGTCAATCGAAGTTATGCTATGGATTATCATAAATGCCGCGGTTTGCAAACAAACAAAAAATTGGAGGTGTCAAGGAACCGAACATTAGGTTCCCCAATACCAGCAGTGGAGTACATTTATCATTGTGTTCCCCGTGAGTCTTACAGTTTTAAACAGGAGTAAACGATAGAATATTGGCACTGTCATGACAACCATCAAAACAGTGACTCAGTGAACCAGCATAGTACCAGTGTTCTGTTACCATGACAGACACCTATATTCTACTCACAGACATGGGATTCATGCATCGTTCACACCCGGCGATAGCTCTCCTTTTTTGGCGTCAAGGTGAATGTCCTCGCATGCCCGCATTTTGATAGGATGAGCGTACCTGCTCTCACTTGTTTGAGTAGAAACTACAGTTAAAATTAAGACATTTCATAACCTATTCATGCAGCCATTTCATCCTGGCAGTAACTTGGATGTCAGTAGGCCTAATCACGGAAAGTGATCACCTTCGCATCGGTACCTTCCCACCCCTTCAACACGCGAGCACAAGACAGCTCAGGATTTCGACTGGATCGGTGCGACTACCGATGTCACTTATAGTGATAGGCAGTAATGCAAAGGAATACATTTGCTGCACGCTTGGTTGCATGGACCAAACACGGAGCTAGAGAATATTAAATCCATCAACACCGTCACTGGTTTGCTTCCTCTGAACGTTGTGTTCTGCAAGCTTGCTTATCCTTCCACTTCCTCTGAGAACTTCCTTATTTTGCCCCTGGAGATTCTTGCAAGCATCCTTCTTTTGCAAGCGTCATGTCGACAATCTATTTTTGCTACTGGCATTGCTTTAATCTTACGATAATCTTTTCTACAATGGGGTAGGCCATCGTTGATTTGTAGCTGTGATTTGTACTTTTAAGCTTACAAATGCACTGCGGCCTTTTAAATCAGCTGGCCTTTATGAAACATACCAAGGTATAGTTGTAGAAGTTCTCGAGAGATTTGTAAATTTTCGAGTGTGGTTTTGTAGATTTGCAATTTGTACCTGTTTGTAGGTTTCTGCCTTATGAAACATATTTTTACAAATGCACCTGCAAATTTGCAACCTACAATGCAAATTTACAACAAACTGCCTTTATGAGAAATGCTACAAATGTAAACAAAGGCCATTTGCGGCTGCTGCACTTACAATAATGAGCACCGCAAAATCATGCACCTGTGAGCCTTGTAATTAAAACAGCACTGCTATGCCATGTGACAACGTTGTAACTCCTCAACTATTGTGATGGCAGGCAACTTCACACGCTGTCAAACCACTTCGCCATCGAACAAGCGCAACAAACTATGCAAATTATGTATATGTCATGCTTTGATTAAACTCAATCACTCCCCGTTGTCAAAAACACTGATCATGTCAGTCCTCAGTCACACGCAGCAGGCGGCGGAGGCTTCAGTCACCGCTGAAGGGGACGCACAGCCTGCCCTGCATTCATTGCCCGGCCACGGAACTGTCATACCCCCACCTCACCCCACCCCCTGCCCTGCCGCCGTTACCTTCCTCCCTGCTCCCGACGCGAGTGGCCTCAGCAAACACCCAAGCAAACCCTGGGGGAGGAGGCGGAGGCGTGATGGGGCGCACCGGCCGCCGCCGGGGTCTGGACCGGGGCCGGGGCCGGGGCTGTACAGGGGCGTCCCGACGCGGAGCCGATGTCTATCGGCCGGCGGCGGCGGCCGAGCGCGTGACCGGCCGCCGGCCGCCCCACCGGCCGGGTAATTGTCTTCTAATGTCGCCGCGGGGACGGTGCGCGCTTATCTCCACCGGGCCCCGCTGTTTTTCATTAATCGCCACTCTATCGGAGGCTGAGAGGGCGAACAAATTCACTTCTTGCGTGATGGCTATCGTCGTCTGCCGCCGAGACATCCAAGCTCAATTCTCGGCCATTAATGCCGCGTCCTAGAAAAAGCATCGCCGGAGCCTCGTCCCACGCACGTGACACCGACACGTAGTGGGCTGAGATCTCGGTGCTCGCAGCGTGATGGGCGGGCGCGGGAGCGGTGTCACAGGTGGTGCCACCTATCGGGGCGTTGGCGCGCCGCGTGTCGGCTGCTGCTGGGGCTTTACGACGCACCCAGCTGCTGTGGCTATATGGCGTCGCCTGCCTCTCACCCTGGCAGGAAGGGTGGGTACCGCGAGGAATCGCACCCCATGCCTCTGGTTTCCCAGACGCGCAGTGGTTAATGCAGAAGCATTCGGGTCGGTGTGCATCGAATGCTGTGCGCCCGTAACGAACTCAGTAAAGTCTTTCCTGTGTGCTGTCGCCTTTCTCATAGCAGGTGGTACCAACCGATTTTGTATGCAGATCCTGCGATATTTTTGTAATGCAACCAAAGGCATAACGCGGTGGTTACAAAAACGCCCTGTTGTGTAGACCACGACACGCACGTGGTCCCACCACGTACACACTCGCCCTCACCGGCCGTGAGCTCACGTGGTGGCACCAAGAGTGTTGGAGGCAATGGGCCATTTCCCGATGGCCACCCGACCCTACGTCGGTTTGAGCCATGGTCGTGGGATACCAGTTGTGGTATACTACATTCTCACCATCGGGACTGAACCATGTGCTCTTCTCATCCGGATATAAATAAGACAGTCATCAACATGGGCCAACGTCTGCCCTCGTCTTCAGCTCGGAGGCAGCCCAAGACACGTGGGTTAATAAGGCATCAATAAGTCATCTACATGTTGGATGGAAATATATTCAGATCCAACACTGATCGCATATGATGTTCATTAAACCGTCCATTGTGACCGTTCGACATGGCATCAGCCGCTCGCAGGAAACCCAGCGTTGTCTATCTTCTGAGGCCAATGATGCACGGGCCTGGTCCGGCTCGTTGTGCGCACTGTGTAGTGATAAGGACCCACCAGGACCCGCCAGGACCCCACAGAGGTCACGCCATTCCGCAATGAAGACCGATAGCAGTCATGAGAGGAACGCGAGGTCGAAACGATTCCTACCGCAAATCAGCGGAGGTGTGTGTCGCCCTCAGTCGGCCTACGCTCCGAAGAGGTAGACCAAGTGTTTTTCTTCGGCATCAGTGGGGAACACGTGATATTGGTGAAAGGGGTTAATAACTTCAATCTTCGGATGCACCTTCCTCAGGCTAGGCCAACCTAACCAGGGTGGGTGTCCTGTGACCAGGGTGCCCTGTGAACCGGGCAGGTCGACGCGACCAGGGTGGACGCCGTGCTTCGGGTGGCTACCCTGCCCAGGGTGGTGTTCTCGCTCGGGACGGGTCCCCCTGCCCAGGGTGGTCTCCTTGCTCGGGACGGGTCTCCTTTCCCAGGGCGGTCTCCTCGCTCGGGACGGGTCTCCTTTCCCAGGGCGGTCTCCTCGCTCGGGACGGGTCTCCCTGCCCAGGGCGGTCTCCTCGCTCGGAACGAGTCTCTCTACCGGGATGGCCTTCAGCGCCCGACCGCTGACCTGATGCAGCTTGAAGTAGAGGCCGCAGGCGTTGCAGACGGGCTCGCCGACGTTGTTGCGGCGCCACAGGGTGGTGGTCGTGGTGTGGCAGTTGGCGCAGGACAGGCCGAGGCGTCGGTTCGTCGCCGGGGTGTTCTGAAATGGACCGGACTAACGGCACTCCAAGGCAACGAACCCAGCCACTAGCTGCTCTGCAGCCGATCAGGCCAACGACACGCCATGGGCGCCATCGTCGCCAGCAGAGCAGTGCGAATGGCTCAATGCGGGCAAAGTTTGCCCTCTGCACAGTCTGCAAAGATTGTCCCGAAACGCGAGCTCCCGGCGGGTGCTATCAATAGGGGCTTCGCTAAACTATTGTCCTGCTCACGTCAAGGATTCAGTTGTGAGGGCTCGGTGTCATACCACAGAACAACTTTTCATCTGACAAGTTGTGCGTTTGGAAAGTCTATCTTAGCGCGCATGTTTTGCTTATTGAGTAGCCGTTAAAGTGAATTTTTTGTTGTGGAATTAAAAGGTCACGAATTATTACAAGCTTAGAAAACGTCAGCCAGCTGGTACATATTTTCCAGTTATCAACTTTACGTCTATGGAGGAATTGCCCCTTGGAAGAGAGCTATGCTCAATCTGCGCTCTGTTTTCAATGAACGAGATCAAATGGGGTAGACGGCCGAAAACGAGCGTGCTATCAGACGGGCACGCAGAATAAAGTGGCCCGCACCAGCAACATCGCAATACACCTCCGACAGCGAATGCGAAATACACAACTCAGCTGTATTTCGAATAAGGCGCAAGGACACACCGCTTGCGCACAACCTAGGTGCGTCCATATGTACGACGTAATGACATGCTTTTAAAGAGCTACGGCGTGTTGCAATGAGCCAGTGCGTTACATACAGGCTGGATACACGGAAATAAACAAGCCATTCGCCGGCTGTGGTATGGTTGCGCGTCATGTGCAAAGGTCATTCCGCCGCGAGTGCCTAGAGCGAACCGTCTGCCGTTTGGCGGACAACGCATTAGCGCAGGCATGCGACAACTTATTCATTTGTTCGCGATTCATCTCAAGGCTGTTGTTAAACACTGATATTGCACGAAACGGAGAACTTAAGGCCCTGAAACGTCGTGGGAGAACGTGACGTGGCGTGGTAA